TTCTGGTATAAAATTTTACACATATGCATTTATATTATATGTATAATACTTTGTTTTACGTACACATTTGTGTCGATTAATTTTTAAGATGTGATGTCTTTTTCATTGTAATGCGCATTGAGCATCTTTTAGGAAATGGAAATGCGCAGTATAAATGCTATTTATTATTATTATTATTATTATTACTGAACTTTTACTTTACTTTTCCGATCCAGCGGCCATCTGGGTTCTAGGGTTCTAGCTCTTCTTACTTTACTTTTACTTTTTCATCCTCTGTTGCCGTTAAGCGTCGAGGGGAGATGCATTTTTCTGTGGTAGGCCAGCTTTCAGTTGTGATGTTATGTTTTCTTAGGGTTTCTTTGACACCATCGATCCACTTTTTGCGTGGCCTTCCTCTTCCTTTATAGCCTGAGTGCTTGGTGTTGTAGGCTCTCGAGGCTGGCTGGTCAGGTGACATACGTAACAATTGGCCAAACCATTTTATCCTCTGTCTTTCTATGTAACGCAGGCAGGGCTCAGTGCCGATAGCAGCTCTTACTTCTTCATTTCTCTGCCTTTCTCGTCTTGTGATGTTAAGGGTTTTGAGGAGACATTTCATTTCGCATGCGGAGATTTTGCTTTCATGGGTTTTGCTTAAAGTCCAGATCTGGCACTGATAACATAATGTTGGTATAAATATTGAGGTGATAAGCTGTCCCTTTGGGTCCATATGGCAAAGAATTTGCAGGTTTTTATCTGCTGTGTTTTGTCGCTGTATAAAGTATTTCCGATATCACATCTTGGCATAAAATGTGCGAGCGAGGAAAAATCTGAGGTCCCTACTTCAACAGTTCTGAGCTTTGATGTCGAGCAGGGGCAGCAAACACATAAATAAATGGTCCTGCGAGTGACTACCTTCCCGTGGGGCCGCGAGTTTGGAACCCCTGTGGAAGGGAAAGGGTGAAGGGAAGAGACAGAAACAAGCAGGCGTGGGAGTGAGAAGAATTCTCTTATGGTTAAAATTGCACAAATGAGCAAAGGGCCGATTGGTCTATTGATATAAAAGAAAACAACAATAACAACAACAACAACAACAACAACAACAACAACACCCCGCCTGCCCTGTGATTCACGTCATAAAAATTATGTTTTTGATGATGATGATGATAGTTGCTCCTGAGGAAGCCCACAAGGCGAAACGTTGAGCTATTATACACATTTTAACTTTTTATATTGTAATTTCATTTTGTCTAAAATTAAAACAAGGCTCTCCCCCATACTCTGCTTACCAAACAATGATGATGATGATGATGATGATGATGATGATGATGATGATGATGATGATGATAATAATAATGATAAACAAATCCTAGAACACCAAGAAACTTTCATGGCTTCCGGGAAAGCACACAAAACAAGCAGCAGATTAGGCGCTCAAACACTGACAAGATCTTTCGCTGTCTACAGCAGGGTACCCATTACCATCTGGATGAAGTCGGGGAAAGTCCATGCAAAGTGCCTTTCTGGATGAAGTCCGGGAAAATCCATGCAAAGTGCCTTTCTGGATGAAGTCGGGAAAAGTCCATGCAAAGTGCCTTTCTGGATGAAGTCGGGGAAAGTCCATGCAAAGTGCCTTTCTGGATGAAGTCCGGGAAAATCCATGCAAAGTGCCTTTCTGGATGAAGTCGGGAAAAGTCCATGCAAAGTGCCTTTCTGGATGAAGTCGGGGAAAGTCCATGCAAAGTGCCTTTCTGGATGAAGTCGGGGAAAGTCCATGCAAAGTGCCTTTCTGGATGA